ACTGGGTATCTCTGGTGATGTGGTCAGAACAACGATGGAACCATATCTTGGTAAGGGGCATATATTATATACTGATAACTGGTACACAAGATACACAAGGGTGTGATAAGAGAAAAAGGTAGCTTATGAGAGGTTCATACAAAGCAGAAGTGTTATAAGAAGGGCAAAGTATATGGAGAGTAAAAGATAGGTGAAGAGAGTGGTTAGAGAGTGCAAAAGGAGAGCAGATGATAGTGTGTGTGGGAGAGACACTGTCAAGAAATTTTGATGAAAAGAAGAAAAATTTTGGAGTTAAACAAATTAAGAAAGCCTAGGGAATGAATGGATTTGTCAGTTAAAAAGAGAGTTGAGGAGTTAGTAGATGGGGAGATGGAGGTATTGGGTAGATGGCGGGAATATTTTGAGGAACTTTTATATGTCGACGAAAAAAGGGAGGCGGTAATTTCATGCACTTTAATTAAAAAAAAAAAGGGTCGGAGTTTTTTTTTTCTCATTATGCACTGCATGCTCCAGGATTTTTTTTATATGGTGCACACTGACCACACAGACCCATTCTCTCTCATGTGGGCCTACCAGCTTTCTCCTGCTTGATTTGAAGCCGCTAGAATTTATGAGTATATATACGTCAAACACGGTACCTCATAAGACTTATATATACGACCTCGACAGTCAAAGGGTTAATAAATGTATGAAAGAGGGGAAGGTATATAAAGGGAAGGGGGACGAAAGAGATTGTAAAAATTATAAGGGAATAAGTTTACTGAGTATACCAGGAAAAGTGTACGATAGGGTTATTATTGAAAGAATTAGAGGTAAGACAGAATGTAGGATTGCGGATGAGCAAGGAGGTTTATAGAGTGGGTAATGGAAGTGTAGATCAAGTGTTTACATTGAAGCATATATGTAAACAGTATTTAGATAAAGGTAGGGAAGTTTTCATTGCATTTACGGTTTTAGAAAAGGCATATGATAGAGTGGATAGGGGAGCAATGTGGCAGATGTTGCAAGTATATGGAATAGGTAGTAAGTTACTAAATGATGTAAAGAGTTTTTATGAGGACAGTAAGGCTCAGGTTAGGGTGTGTAGAAGAGAGGGAGAATACTTCCCAGTAAAAGTAGGTCTTAGACAGGGATGTGTAATGTCACCATGGTTGTTTAATATATTTATAGATTGGGTTGTAAAAGAAGTAAATGCTAGGGTGTTGGGGAGAGGGGTGGGATTAAATTATGGGGAATCAAATACAAAATGGGAATTGACACAGTTACTTTTTGCTGATGATACTGTGCTTATGGGAGATTCTCAAGAAAAATTGCAAAGGTTAGTGGACAAGTTTGGGGAGTGTGTAAAGGTAGAAATTTGAAAGTGAACATAGAAAAGAGTGAGGTGATGATGGTATCAAATGATTTAGATAGAGAAAAACTGGATATCAAACTGGAGAGGAGTATGGAAGAAGTTAATGTTTTCAGATATTTGGGAGTTGATGTGTCAGTGGATGGATTTATGAGGGATGAGGTTAACCATAGAACTGATGAAGGAAAAAAGGTGAGTGGTGTGTTGAGGTATATGTGGAGACAAAAAACATTATCTATGGAGGCAAAGAAGGGAAAGTATGAAAGTATAGTAGTACCAACACTCTTATGTGGGTGTGAAGCTTGGGTTGTAAATGCTGCAGCGAGGAGGTGGTTGGAGGAAGTGGAGATGTCCTGTCTAAGGGCAATGTGTGGTGTAAATATTATGCAGAAAATTCGGAGTGTGGAAATTAGGAGAAAGTGTGGAGTTAATAAAAGTATTAGTAAGAGGGCTGAAGAGGGGATGTTGAGGTAGTCTGGTCATTTAGAGAGAATGGATCAAAGTAGAATGACATGGAGAGCGTATAAATCTGTAGGGGAAGGAAGGCGGGGTAGGGGTCGTCCTCGAAAAGGTTGGAGGGAACGGGTAAAGGAGATTTTGTGGGCGAGGGGTTTGGACTTCCAGCAAGTGCGCGTGAGTGTGTTAGATAGGAGTGAATGGAGACGAATGGTATTTGGGACCTGACGAGCTGTTGGAGTGTGAGCAGGGTAATATTTAGTGAAGGGATTCAGGGAAACTGGTTATTTTATATAGCCGGACTTGAGTCCTGGAAATGGGAAGTACAATGCCTGCAGTTTAAAGGAGGGGTTTGAGATATTGGCAGTTTGAAGGGTATGTTGTGTATCTTTATACATATACACTTCTAAACTGATGTATTCTGAGCACCTCTGCAAAAACAGTGATTATGTGTGAGTGAGGTGAAAGTGTTGAATGATGATGAAAGTATTTTCTTTTTGGGGATTTTCTTTCTTTTTGGGTCTTGGTGAGAGACGGCCAACTTGTTAACCCTTTGACTGTCGCGGCCGTATATATACATCTTACGAGGTACTGTGTTTGACGTATATATACTCATAAATTCTAGCAGCTTCAGATCAAGAAGGAGAAAGCTGGTAGGCCCACATGTGAGAGAATGGGTCTGTGTGGTCAGTGTGCACTATATAAAAAAAATCCTGGAGCACGCAGTGCATAATGAGAAAAAAAAAAAAAACTCCGACCTTTTTTTTTATTAAAATGCCGACTTTGTGGTCTATTTTTGTATAGTATTTATGGTTGTATTCTCGTTTTCTTGGTCTCATTTGATAGAATGGAAAACATATTATAGAAATAGAGGTGATTTTGATTGATTTTACTATAAAAAGAACCTGGAAATGGACCTGAGAGTAGGGGAAATGTTTGATTTTTGCTGATGTTCAAAAGTAAACAAATGATGTAATTGTCCAATAAATGTCCAACTAGCCATTCTAATATGCAGTCATGAATGGGTTGATGTTATTTATACAATTATTACAGTATTGAAGTAGTCTGCATAACAGTAAATCTTCTATTTTTTGTTTGAATAAAAACTCAAAATAGAAAGCAAAAGTAATATCAGAGAGGCTTGGAGACATGACTGATGAACAAAGAAAATGTTATTTTAGAGCCAGGAATGTCTGCATTGTTCATTCTGGACCTTATTTTGAAATTGTCATATTTTTTAATTTTCGTGAAATTGACCAAACTGCAAATTTCTGACCACGTTATTGGGTAGTTGAAATTGGTAAATGGGCAGTTTCTTGTACTCAATCGATAGAAAAAACGGAGTTCTAAAGAAATAGCCATGAGTTTGGTCGACTGGAACAATGGAATTAGCCAAAAATAGGGCTCAAAGTGGGCGAAATCGCCGATTTGTAAATATAGCTGAGGTCGCTAACTTCGCAAGATCGTAATTCCGTCAGCTTTCCACCAAACTTCGTTTTTTTTTGGTGTCATTACAATCGGGAAAAGATTCTCTATCATTTCATAAGATTTTTTTTTTTTTTTTAAATTTTGCGACACCAGACACCTCAGGATTTGGGGTTGCGACAGTCAAGGGGTTAAAACAAAAAAAAAAATTATTATTGTCACCCTGCTTCAGTGGGAGATGGCAGTGTGTTAAAGAAAGTAATATTACAATGATGTGCATTTACATTGTTCAATTTCTGAATAATTAATATGAATGACACTGTTTATGTGTGTTTCTTATGGCTATAATGAATTAGCAACATGATGCTTGGCTGGATCTGTGGGACAGTCAAGTATGAGGAGCTAGCTCTATAAAGTTTAAGTAAGCTTGTAATTTTTCTTGTGTAAGAATAATGTTGCAAGAGGCTCTGCATCACTCTTAAAAACCAATCCATCCTCCAACTTAAGCAGTATTCCTGGGGAGATCTACACCCTAAAGCAGTAAGTAGTTCTTAACCTGTTTTGGGTCGTGCCCTCTATTGCAGTTGGTCCTCATCTCCACAACCCTCTCCTTCCTTTACATAAATTATAAAAATAAAATTTACAACAATACTCTTTATTTACATAGGAAAATTGAGGAACTAGTTTTTATTCTTTATTTTTAACTATTTAAAAGAGTTTAAGGAGGAAATTGCAAATACACAACATATAAAGTGAGAACACATTTAGCGAGACATTTGACACTGCTTCTGAGGTACCATGTTAAGGCCACTCCTTATTTTACTCTGGGTTTGTGGGGACTCCTGGAAATCACTCTCACCCCCCCCCCTCCCTAGGGAGGAAAGCTCCTCTGGTTAAGAAGTGCAGCTGTGAGGTATTACATGCCTAGCACTACCAAATGTAAGTTGGATATTTTTATTTTGTTATTGTTTGTTAATTATAATTAAATATTGGTTAATGTAAGTCAATCTAATCTAACCTAATCAAGAAAAAATCTTAAATTTCTAAAATAGGCTAGATTAAAAAAAAATAAACAAATGGTAACTCAAAGTAAACTTTAATGCTTTAATTGGAGGACAGTTTGCCTATAAGCAATTCACAGCACATTTGAAACAGCATATTATTTATACAATGATCAGTATATTAACCTTTATAAAAAATTTCAATGCTAATTTAAAAGGATTAGGCAAACACATACAAGTGAGAAAATGGAAGAGCAGCAACAAGAAGAGATAGACAAGCAAAAGTAGAGAGAAAATAACAGTGAGGAAGGAAGTACAGTACTTATTTAGCTCCCCGATGCTTAAGCTGCCTCAAAACTATCAGAGAATCAAATAAATGTATTTTACAGCCCTCAAAAATTTAAGTTTCTATAGTTTTCTTTATTAAGAGGCAAAAATTGTGACTGAATGGAAGTAAAAACAACTTAGAAAAGTTAGAAGCTTACTTCTTTTCAAATCCCAAAGTCTAGTTACTTGGTTTTCTGAGCTGTCCACAGACTGACTGAAATGAGGATGGGTTAGAGTTTCCTAGCTGGCAATTATGTGATGCTCAGCATAAACACATGTTTTACATATATGCAAGACCTGTGAATTATAATACATTACATTTACTGGCTATATATAAAACCATGGCCACTCTATATAAAGTAAAAAAGTTTTGAATATAAAGACAATTTTTTTTTTATTTTTTAATATACTGCAGATAAGACACATGTTAAGAAACATACCTGAAACAAATCTCTTCTTAATGAGTGAAACTCTGTACCCTGAGCCAACAAGACAAAACTCCAAGCCTGAGATTGTTGTCCCTTCACAGTTGAACTGAGCTGAAACAGTGGCTGGAGTAGATGGACCTGCTGCTACTTCAAATTTGGCCCGTAATGATCCTATACCAGCATCAGAGGAGTGCTGTGAAAGCTCAGTTAGTTTCCATACTGCTCGTTGCTGATCTTTTAACCTGATGACAATAAAAACACATATAGGTTAAGAACAAAAACCTCTGAAGTCTAGACTTCCTTGCTGATTGCCTGCCAGCCTGCTAGGAAAGGTAATGAGTAATGTCACCTGCCAAGACATCTCATACCAAATACATCTCACCACCTGCCCATAAGAAACTTTTGTAGTGTTTCTTTTCACACACAAAAGTAAAAATGTAGCATTTGTACACAATGTAGACTGTAGAGTATATTGCATTTTTTCTGTCTTATGTCTATTTCACTCAGGACAGGGCACATATGAATGACCCAAAAATATTCATGTTGTCAAGGAAATTATGTAAAAAACTCTCCAATCTCTAAATATGCAAATTTGCAGGTCATGAATTTGGAGGGATTACTCTACTGCTTCATCATTATACAGAAAATCCACTGTTTAACAGGTTTAGGAAATACAAAACAAAATCCTCTTGGCTAACTAATTTGGAATCAACAGAAAGTGCATTGGCAAACGTAACGAGTTTTTGTTACAATCACTGCAAAATATCATTTCTATATGCAAAACATCCACAGGGGGACTTGAATAATAGCTCTAGGTCTTTCGTGTTGCAATCAACACATCATCAGGAGCCTGCTAACACTGAGGGTAGGTGGTATCACAATAGCCATTACTAGTCACCCAGTATCCCTGTAAGTCACTTAAGTCGAAGGTTAGCTGTATTTAGGTACAGCAGAGCCCCACTTTACTGCATTTTGCTAATACGGACATTTCAAATTATAATCAAAACTTGCTATACAGCTCCCCCCACCTGACTTTCTACTACAGTCACCATGCCCCCCCCATGAGCTCCACAAGCACCACGTCTCTCCATTATGTCTGGAAACTCCAAAATTTCAAGTGTTTTTAAAAGTTATTTCATATTTTATATTTTTTTTTTTTTTTTTTTTATTATCACACCGGCCGATTCCCACCAAGGCAGGGTGGCCCGAAAAAGAAAAACTTTCACCATCATTCACTCCATCACTGTCTTGCCAGAAGGGTGCTTTACACTACAGTTTTTAAACTGCAACATTAACACCCCTCCTTCAGAGTGCAGGCACTGTACTTCCCATCTCCAGGACTCAAGTCCGGCCTGCCGGTTTCCCTGAATCCCTTCATAAATGTTACTTTGCTCACACTCCAACAGCACGTCAAGTATTAAAAACCATTTGTCTCCATTCACTCCTATCAAACACGCTCACGCATGCCTGCTGGAAGTCCAAGCCCCTCGCACACAAAACCCCCTTTACCCCCTCCCTCCAACCCTTCCTAGGCCGACCCCTACCCCGCCTTCCTTCCACTACAGACTGATACACTCTTGAAGTCATTCTGTTTCGCTCCATTCTCTCTACATGTCCGAACCACCTCAACAACCCTTCCTCAGCCCTCTGGACAACAGTTTTGGTAATCCCGCACCTCCTCCTAACTTCCAAACTACGAATTCTCTGCATTATATTCACACCACACATTGCCCTCAGACATGACATCTCCACTGCCTCCAGCTTCTCCTCGCTGCAACATTCATCACCCACGCTTCACACCCATATAAGAGCGTTGGTAAAACTATACTCTCATACATTCCCTCTTTGCCTCCAAGGACAAAGTTCTTTGTCTCCACAGACTCCTAAGTGCACCACTCACTCTTTTTCCCTCATCAATTCTATGATTCACCTCATCTTTCATAGACCCATCCGCTGACACGTCCACTCCCAAAATATCTGAATACATTCACCTCCTCCATACTCTCTCCCTCCAATCTGATATTCAATCTTTCATCACCTAATCTTTTTGTTATCCTCATAACCTTACTCTTTCCTGTATTCACCTTTAATTTTCTTCTTTTGCACACCCTACCAAATTCATCCACCAATCTCTGCAACTTCTCTTCAGAATCTCCCAAGAGCACAGTGTCATCAGCAAAGAGCAGCTGTGACAACTCCACTTTGTGTGTGATTCTTTGTCTTTTAACTCCACGCCTCTTGCCAAGACCCTCGCATTTACTTCTCTTACAACCCCATCTATAAATATATTAAAACAACCACGGTGACATCACACATCCTTGTCTAAGGCTACCTTTACTGGGAAAAAATTTCCTTCTTTCCTACATACTCTAACTTGAGCCTCACTATCCTCGTAAAAACTCTTCACTGCTTTCAGTAACCTACCTCCTACACCATACACTTGCAACATCTGCCACATTGCCCCCCTATCCACCCTGTATATGCCTTTTCCAAATCCATAAATGCCACAAAGACCTCTTTAGCCTTATCTTAATACTGTTCACTTATATGTTTCACTGTAAACACCTGGTCCACACACCCCCTACCTTTCCTAAAGCCTCCTTGTTCATCTGCTATCCTATTCTCCGTCTACTCTTAATTCTTTCAATTATAACTCTACCATACACTTTACCAGGTACACTCAACAGACTTATCCCCCTATAATTTTTGCACTCTCTTTTATCCCCTTTGCCTTTATACAAAGGAACTATGCATGCTCTCTGCCAATCCCTAGGTACCTTACCCTCTTCCATACATTTATTAAATAATTGCACCAACCACTCCAAAACTATATCCCCACCTGCTTTTAACATTTCTATCTTTATCCCTCAATCCCGGCTGCCTTACCCCCTTTCATTTTGCCTACTGCCTCACGAACTTCCCCCACACTCACAACTGGCTCTTCCTCACTCCTACAAGATGTTATTCCTCCTTGCCCTATACACGAAATCACAGCTTCCCTATCTTCATCAACATTTAACAATTCCTCAAAATATTCCTTCCATCTTCCCAATACCTCTAACTCTCCATTTAATAACTCTCCTCTCCTATTTTTAACTGACAAATCCATTTGTTCTCTAGGCTTTCTTAACTTGTTAATCTCACTCCAAAACTTTTTCTTATTTTCAACAAAATTTGTTGATAACATCTCACCCACTCTCTCATTTATATACTTATATACTTATATACTTATATACTTATATATTTATATATACTCTCATAATTATAATTATGTATACCTGTACCTAAATAAACTTACTGTGCTGGCGTGCAGGTACACATTAAAATCACTAAGAATGTCTTGTGTCTCGAGACGCCATATTAGTAAAGATAATAATAATAATAATCACTGAATCTCATTAAATGTCATATACATATTACATTAATATACACATTTTCATTAATCTATGATATTTTTTCAAAATTATACAGTGGACCCTTCGTTAGCAGCCATAATCCGTTCCAGAAGGTCGGCCAAAAACCGAAATAATATTTCCCATAAGAATTAATGTAAATACAATTAGTCCGTTCCAGACAAAAATATTCACAAAAAAAAAAAAAAAAAATTATACAAATATTACATACCTGGCTTCTGGAAGATAGGGAGGAGGAAAGAGGGAGGAGTTAGTGTTTGGAAGGGGAATCCCCCTTCATAAAGACTTTAGGTAGCAAAGCGTTCTCTGGGGTTACTTCTCTTCTTTGTCTTTTAATGCCACTAGGACCAGCTTGAGAGTCACTGGACCCGTCTCACAAAATAACTGTCCAGAGTGCTCTGTTTCTGGCATCTCTTTAAGATTTCCCTAAAGTGGGAAAGGGTTTTGTCACTAAACATGTTGCAGATATGGCTTGTTTCAGTTTTGTCAGGGTGGTACTTCTCGACAAAACTTGCACAAATGTTCTTAATCAATGAAGAAGGCACCTCCTTCACTCCCTCTTCCTCCTCTTCTGAAGCAAGTTCCTCAGCTGCAGTCTGTTGCTGTTCAAGTTGAAGCTCTTGCAGCTCTTCAGTGGTTAGCTCTTCCACGTGGTCCTCCACCAACTCTTCCACATCCTCGCCACTCACTTCCAACCCCAGGGACATCCCCAGTGCCACAATAGAGTCCACAGGGTTGGAAGAGTCAGAGTCAGCCTCAAACCCTTCAAAATCCCTCTCTTGGACACAATCTGGCCACAGTTTTCTCCAAGCAGAGTTCAAAGTCCTGGAAGTCACTCCCTCCCAAGCCTTACCTATAAGGATGATAGTGAGGATGATAAGGAGGATAGTGAGGTGATTCCTCCAGAACCCTCTTAGGGTCAACTGAGTGTATGGGGTCACTTCATAGCACTTTTGAAACACTGCTTTTGTGTAGAGTTTTTGAAGTTAGAAATGACCTGCTGGTCCGTGGGGCTGGAGTAGAGGAGTGGTGTTAGGAGGCAAGACTTCACTTTATGAAACTGATGTCCCTAAACACTTGGTCTTCCAAGTCTGGAGGATATGCAGGAGCATTGTCCAGTAACAGGAGGCACCTTGAGTGGCAATTTCTTTTCAGGAGGCATTTTTCACACTTGGGCCAAACACATCATTAACCCACTCTTGGAAAATTTGCCTTGTGACCATGCCTTATGATTAGCTTTCCACATCACACACAATCTATTCTTCATGACATGTTTTTCTTGAACACTCTGGGGTTTTCTAAGTGATACACGAGTAAAGGCTTCACTTTGAAATCCCTCTAGCAATACCATACAACGAAAGACTAAGCCTGTCTTTCATATGCTTGTGTCCTGGCAGTGCCTTTCCTCCTGGGTAATGTAGGTCCTGTTTGGCATTTTCTTTCAAAACAGGCCTGTTCATCACAAGTGAACACTTGTTGGGGTTTGAATCCTTCAGCCTCTATATACCCTGGAATTCCTGTACAAATTTTTCAGCTGCACATTTGTCAGAACTTGCACCCTCACCATGCCTTACAACACTGTATGCCACTACGCTATTAAAATCTATCAAACATCCTTTGCTGGCCCTAAATTCACAAACTGCAGTACTTGTTCCAGGCATTTTCTTTGCAAGATCCTCATGCAACTGCCTTGCCTTTCACAAACAACGACTCCACAACACTGTCTCCCACTAATTCTTTTTCCTTAATCCACAATAATAATAACTTTTCCATCTCTTCCATTATTGGTGGCCTTTGTTTAGTTAGAAAAGTTACTCCTTTTGCAACAT